TTTTTTTTTTTTTTCTCAATCTTGACATACATAAATTTAGGGAGTTTAGGTGGATGATCAGGAACAGGATAATATTGAAGGAATATATCAGAATATTAACTACAACTTTGCAGCATATGTTTTCACTTTTGCAACCTATGTTTTTACCTTTTGGGAAATAGAGCAAAAAGAAATTAAAAAGATGTGAGCCTCTAAACTGTACAAGTTAATAAGCTTCCAAGTAGCAGCCAAAGAAATACTCAGTATTTAAGAGTCTTAAGTGGAGAGTAATAAAAAAATATTTTGATATTTCAGGATTTCAGAGGGCAAAGAGTTTGTACTGAAAATAAACACCTGAAAGTTTGGCTTTGGAACTTTAAGATTTTAACTTAAATCTCTGATCATGAAGTTTCTCAAACTGTGATCCTTTTGATCTGTATATTGCTCTCTTATGTATGTAGGAGATACAGCAGTTCGAGAAGTTTTTGAAGAGACTGGTATAAAATCAGAATTCAGGTCCCTCCTGAGTATTCGACAACAGCATACCAATCCAGGAGCTTTTGGGAAGTCTGATATGTATATCATCTGTCGCCTCAAGCCATGTTCATTCACCATAAATTTTTGCCAGCATGAGTGCTTAAGATGTGAATGGATGGATCTCAGTGACCTAGTCAAGACGGAAAATACAACTCCTATCACCAGCAGAGTGGCTAAGCTGCTGCTGTATGGATACAGAGAAGGGTTTGACAAAATTGACCTCACCATGGAAGAACTTCCAGCAGTTTACACAGGCCTGTTCTATAAACTGTATCACAAAGAATTGCCAGAGAATTACAAAATTGTGACAGGAATGGATTAAATTCACATTTACATGTTTTTAAGAAATTCAAAGACAACTATATATGTAGAGTAATTATACAATAAGACATGAACATTTGGGATTAAATATCTGATGCTGATTTTTCTAATAATTTTTCATGATGGAAAGTTGTAAATATATCCACTTTAAAATCTTCTTTTCAAATAAAGCAAATATGTGAAAAGATAGTAGCTCTAGTCTAGGTAATCTTCAGTGATAACAGCAGATGTTATATGAGAGGAGTAAGTCTACATTTTCCAATAATTTTTGTTGTTTCTTTACTGAGGCGATGGTTAAGTATTTTACTATTAGATAAAAAGTTGTCTGATCTGTTATCCAAACTGAGCTGTATACATTTCTTTTTTCCTCACTAACAATTTTCTAACATATATTTCTTCTTTCACGTGAAATAAAATCAGATGTTGCCATTAAAATCAGCTCTTAGCAGACATTGGAAGAAAAAGTATAGCTTTCTGCCCCGGTCCTGTTTTGGATCCAAGTTTATATTGTCCAGTTCGTTTCAGTGCCACATACCAACTGGAGTATTTCCTTGACCGATAAGTATTGTAGTTATTAGATTCCAATCGTTCAAAAAAGAAACACTCATCTGTAACACATTTCTGAAAAACAAAGGAAGAATTACTTGTTATTGTTAGACTTTTTATAATAATATTTATGATAGTATAGTGTATTCTGCCCAACCAGGAGTAGTGATCTTGAGTTCAAGAGGGCAATCAAATAAACAGTTCTCAAGCCAAAATATATCATAGACCAGAATGTGCCATAGATTACCTCTATGGTGATGCATAGAAGGATACAAACCAAACACACAGGATGTCAGAAGGGTAGCATCAAGCATATCGCTTCAGTAGGATGAGCCCAGGGACCATTCTCCAAGGAGTAACCAATGAGGTATAGTCAGTGAAATATGTCTGTGGTATAGGAACTACAGTAGTTCAGACTTGAAACATACAAAAACAAAAATTTGAGGTCCCCACAATGAGGGACACACCCAGAAACAAGAAGCAACTCAAGTCAGGGAAGCCCAAAGCTATGGCTTCCACTAGGTATATATGGTTCATCCTCTCCCAGTCCTGAGGGAGGTTACCTGTCAGCGGTCATTTTAACTTTTACATTTTTTATATGGGTCCAATTCAACAATGCTAGAATGGTAAATATAATTTCCCAAAGGAAGATGGGGTTTGTTAATGCTCTAATCAGAGAAACAATTATTTTTTTAAGAAATAATTTTTTAGTGTCTAAAGTTGTAAGGCATAAAAAAAATAATTTGTCGTATAGAAAATAGCTCAATGCATTCAGAAAGGTTAGCTTTCAAATAGTTAGACCTGGTAATAGTACTCCAAGCAATGGAGTCTAATGTGCCACTACATTATTTAAGACCAATGATCAAAAATTAATTTCACAAGGTAGCACTAATGATACTTATTGATCTGGAAGAAGGAGAAATCAACTATTCCCTTTAAAAGAAAAATCATTTATGATTATGTGTGTGCATTCACCAAGTGAATTATAAACTCAGAGAATACCACACATACCATATACATTTTTAAACATATAAATAAAAGATGTTCTACATATATAAATATCAGATCTCAACTTATTTTTACATACTGATATATAAGTTTTAGAAAATCCACATTAAAAATACTTAAAACTATTCCCAGGTTTTTTGGTTCCAAGATAAGGCAAACAATGGCATGAACTCTGAGGAAAACATAATAAAACTAGAAAAAGAAGTGGTGTAACAACAAAAAATTAAAAGTACAAGACAGAAACATCACAGAATTTGACAATCCAAAAATTCATTTAGAACCAGAAGAGACTAAAAGCCATTCTAAACAACAGAGATGGCAAGGGGTATCACAACCCCCAACTTGAAACTATACTATAAAGTCAGTGTCAAACAGCATGGTACTGGCAAAGAAACAAACCTGAGGATCAGTGGAACAGATTAGAAGATGCAGAAATAACTCCTGGCATACTCGGCTACCTCATATTTGACAAAGGAGCCCAACACCCTTACTGGAAGAAAGAGCCTCTTTAATAAGTGGTGTTGGAAAAACTGGATTTCAACTTGTCAAAAGATTAGAACTAGACCCTTATCTTTCACTATACACTAAACTAAAATCCAAGTGGATTAAAGATATAAACATTAAAACAAACACTAAACTTGCTAAAAGATAAGTTAGGTAGAACTCTTGAGGACAGCAGCAGAGGGGAAAGATTTTATGAAGAAAACCTCAGTAGCATGGGAACTAGCACAAAGAATCAACAATTGGGATCTCATCTTTTTAAAAAGCCTCTACACTGCAAGAGAAATCACAAGCAGAGCTAAGAGACAAACCACAATGTGGGAAAAAATTTTTACCAGCTGCTCCTCAGACAAAGGTCTACAATATATAAAGAACTCAAAAAAAGCAGACCCCCCCAAATACAAAGATACAGTTCAAAAATGGCCATCTGAAATGAACAGATATTTTTCAGACAAAAAAGTAAAAGCAGCAAATAATCATATGAAAAAATGTTCAACATCACTGGTCATTTGTGAGATGCAGATGAAAACAACACTGAGATTCCATGTCACTTCAGTTAGAATGGCTGCTATCAAGAAATCAACCAATAACAAATGATGGAAGGGTTGTGGAGAGATAGGAACCCTTCTTCATTGTTAGTGGGAGTACAGACTGATGCAACTACTGTGGAAATCAATATTGAGATACCTGAAACAACTAGGATTGTAAGTCCCATTTGACCCAGCTACTCCTCTGCTGGGTATCTTCCCAAAAGAATGAAAAGAATCATACTACAGCAATATATGCTCACCCATATTTATAACAGCACAGTTTGTAATACCTAAAATTTGGAAACAGCCCAAATGCCCATCAACTGGAGACTGGATGAAGAAGATGAGTGTGTGTGTGTGTGTGTGTGTGTGTGTGTGTTTTAATATATAAAATGGAGTATTATTCAGCCATAAAGAATGAGAAACTAGATATTTATAGCTAAGTGGATGCCCATTGAGGCTGTACTCTTCAGTAAAATTAATGTCACATATGTGTAAATACCAAATAGTTTCTCTGGTGTGAAAAAGTAAAAGTGTAAATAAGGATTAAAATGTATAAATGATATTGTGTAATAGGAAGAAAAGTCTAAAAGAGTAGGGGAAGTGGGAAGCGTAAGGGATAGGTAAAAAGAGAAAAGAAAAACATGGAAACAATGTCTTTGCAAACAGGGAAGGGTGGAGGAGCTGAAGGGAGGGCTAGGGAATGGGGAAAAATAAGAACTAGATAAGCCAATGATGAATGTAACTATATTGTATACTTAAAATGTACCAATAAATTTAATAGTGATACAAGAAAAGAAACATCTAAAAGTGACTAACATGTTTCTACCATCTAAGGTAAGGGAACAATACTAGATCCTACAATCTGTTTCTAGAGAAAATAATTTACTGGATATTTACGTGGCTTTAATATTCTGTTATTAGTTGTATTTTTTAAAAATTGAAATACTTAAAAAGTTACCTGCTCATCACGTGAACTATTACTAATGAAAATGTCCTTCTGATACAAATAAACCACAGGTAGCCTTACAGAGAAACATCACTGCCCAAGGGCAGTGAACACTTAAACCCAGGGTAATGTAGATATTCTAAATCCAGTATTTTCTCTCTACCTTTGGTGAAATTCATTTTGCTTTGCTATCGTTTGAGTGTGTTCCCAAGGTTCATGTGTTCAAACTTGGTCCCTAGTATGGTAAGGTTAAGAAGTAGAGGACCTTTAAGAAATGGATCTAGTAGGGGGTCATTAGGTCATTTGGAGCATTACTCTCAGAAGAGATCTAGTTAGTCTCAAAGGACTCTGGTTAGTTCTCACACGTGTGAGCTGTTATAAATGGCAAGCCTAAGATTGGCCCATCCTTAGTCTCTGGCTTCCTGCCTGTCTCATCACACAATCCCTCCCTCACACACTTGCTCCTACCATGAGTCTGTCTGCCATGAAGGGCTGTGCCAAGGAGGCTTTCAGTAGAGGCCAAATGGATGAGGCCAGCAACCTTGGACTATCACCCCAAGTGCTTGGCCTCGAGTATTTCACTGTAACAACAGAAAATGGACTCTTGGTGTGAACTTGTTAATTTGGGTTACTGTGTCATTTGAAGTACCAGTGATTAAGTATTTTCCCTTTTTCCTCTTCCAGGTAAAAATCATAAATAAAAATGAAGAGGGGCCGGGATTTAGCTCAGTGGTGCTGTCGCCTGCCTCGCAAGCATAAGGACCCAAGTTTGATCCCCACTACAAAACAAAAATGAAAGGGAAGTAAAAAGTAAAAGCAAAATTATAGGGAAAGTGTAAAAGGTCATCACTGAAATTCACAAGATAATTGTGAATCTCCAGGGGTAAACTCACAGAACACCTCTCAAGCGCATTCTCACTTTTCAGTGTTCTCTCAGATTCCCGGATGGATGCCCACTTTGTTACCTGGCACTCCCTGCAATGCTTGGCCTAATGGGATGTCAATAGTGTCTGCATTGCAGCTATGTACTAATATTTCACAGAAAAGTCATATTAGGGACGCATCTTGAAACCCACAAGCTTTATAAAAGTTACATGTACTTTTGAAAAACACAGTGTAAGGAAAATGTGCACCTGTGTCGAATCTTCAGACCTTCTGAACTTGACAGACTGCCTTTTTAAAAATGTGTAACAATTTTCAATTCTCTCCATTCTAGGTTTACAAACTAGCTTAATGACTGAATTCAGTATTCTTCTTCATAGTTAGTATAATTTTATTAGCCTTTATGAACATATGTACAGAGTTCTTTTCCTATTGTCGGTATGTGTGAAACATTTCAAATTTGAAGGAAAAGGGTCTTCACAGGAACAACATCACAAAGGAAGTGGGTAAGTGACTGTTAAGGACTTATAAAAACTTGCATTGGTTTCAAGGCCTTATTTTATTAAGCCTATGAGCTGGGAAATGCCTTAACTCATAGTACCTGACTCCTTTCACGCACATAATTTCATTTAAAACATAATTTCATAAATTCAATAATCAGCATAATTTTCATATATTCACAGACATTAACATGGTTACTAATTTCCTTTAGATGATAGGCAATCTTTCCCCACCTGACACATTTTCATCCAATTAAAATTCCCTTTGTGTTGCTGACTTTTAAAAATTTAAGAATAACTTTGGAGTAGAGAGCCCAGAGTTCAAATAATGCATTTTGTCATTCAACATATGTATTCTTTTCCTTCACCTAAAGCCCCTAGGACCCATCAATGAACAAAAGTAAAAAAAAATCCCTGCCTTTGTGCCACTCGAATTATAGCTGGGAGAGACATAGTAAACAATTAGTATAACTAACTAAATTATATCCTATACTAAAATATGGGAGTCTTGGGAGAAAAGTAAAACAGTTTGGATAGAGGGTCTGGGGTGGTGGGAGTACAGCTTAAATAGTATGATCACAGCAAGCTCCACTGAGAAAGTGACATTTCAACAATAAAGTACCTGAAAGTTGAAGGAGTTAACCCACACATCAGAGAAGAGCACAGCAGGCAAGGGAATGGTGAGTGCCAAAGCCCTCAGACAGG